GGTTGCAGAATGAATAATAAAATCTTATCATATCTGCCCCAGATTTAAAAATATGTAAATTCAAAACATACAAAAAAAATAAACTTAGCTTGAACAATCTCCAAATTTACAAAAACAAAAAACAAAATACAGCTATACTTTCTTCTCTCTACTGTACATGTTATGCAGTTATTCCTGTGATTAATTCATTTTTCTTCCCATAGAAGCTAAACCTGGACCGATTCTACTGTTTGTGTCTCTTTCCTGTCCTCTAAAACCTCAGCTGCCYGCTCATCCTGAACCTGGATCAGCTGGAGGTTTCTTCCTGTTAAAATGGTRTCATTTCTTTCCACTGTCACCAGCACGCTGCTGTGGATGAAAGGCTGTGCAGAAGTGAAAATTTGATGCAATCTGCTGTTTCTTTTATAATAAAGTGCATGTAAATGTTTTGTACTGTGATTAGAATGAACTGACTACAAGCAGGAATTGTTAGGAACTGAATTTGTTGGGTTTTTCTTTGTTTAGTGACCTTAGAACAAAAATCAATGTGTTGTAAATTGGAACTATTTTTAAAAAGTGAAACATTACAACAAGTTTTTGTGGTAATTGATAACTGATCTTTTTGTAGTGATTAAAACTACAGGTTTTTTTGTACCATTACAGCTTTTTTACATCATAACTGTTTCTCCTCCCACACACACAGCAGACAACAGCCTGGTAACAGAAACAAMAGCTGTCAGACGGCTGTTGAAGAGATAAAAGCTCAGGTTTTTCTTTAATTAAAAACACAAGTAAGAATGTGATGGTTCAGTGCTGTTCTCTGTTGTTGACCACAGCACTCAACATGCTAACTAGAACTGCTGTAACACTAAAAACACTGTATAAAAACACTTGCTCTTATAGCTCAATGTCCAGTCTTTCTGAAGTTTACAATATTGTCCATGAATTAAATTTAGTGTCTCACCTGTGCATGACGTTCTCATTCTGAACTGCTGCGTAACCTCCCAGGCAGAACTTGCATAGGTTGAGAAGTCCCAGAGCCAGATAGGACACCACAAAGGTCAGACCCAGAAGGGAGTACGGTGTGGCACAACATTCAGACACACTACAGGGTCCGACAAATACTGTAAATATCAAAATTATAAAACGATGCTCAAAAGGGAACATGAACAAACCACAGGACAGGACACCTTATTAACAGGAAGAACAAGATTCCCTGATGGGTTGAAGCGGCGCTGACAGACATGACGTCAGAGAACAGCTGCACGGTGAACAGAACAAACCAGAAGACACTGAAGAGGACCGGGACAGCAWACTGGTTCCACAGAGAGATGCCCACAGCCAAAAGTCTGTAGAGCTCGATCACCTGCGGGAGAGGCAGCTCGGTGAGGAGGGGAGAAGATAAAAAAATATTTTAGAAACTCGTTTTTTCCTCCAGTACCTCAACGTGAAGCARTTCTGAATAGGCAGCCCTTGCGAGCTGGTATGGCACAAAGAGATTGGAGAGGAGGAACATGGCCGCCCCGGCTACAGTCAGCCCCATGGAGAACGTGTTGACCGTCACCAGAGTGGCAGGGGGAGCAGCGACGAGTCGGGCCAGCAGAGGGAGCAGGTGCATAGAGAATAACCACACCTTTCTGGTYTTCATCAGGAAGGCACACAGCGTGCTGAGGATGATCTGACCTTTAATTAACACAAAACAAGACATTTGATAAAACTTACCACCACTTTACCTAACTGCAAGATCATCCTCTGTTAGAACTACCAGCACTGTCTTGATTTTGTTGACTTTGTTGGCTCTTGTGAGCTCCAATCTGAGGTTGTTTATTTCTTTTAGCATTACTTACTTGTGGGAACTTGTCTCAGAGTCATTATTCATTAATTAGAAAATTCCAGTTAAATATCTGTTTTGACTGATGTTTAATTAGACTGATTATGACAGGGGTGCCCAAAGCAGGGCCCATGGGCTAAAACTGACCCACCAATAGTTGCCCTGGTTGTAAACTCCTGTCATTATACAACTGCTCAAAAAAATAAAGGGAACACTTAAACAACGCACGCTAACTCCCGATCTTAATCAATGAAATATTCGCATTGAATACTTTGTTCTGTACAGAGTTGAATGTGCTTCACAAAAGTTTGGTTTACTTGGACTTAGCGTGCGTTGTTTAAGTGTTCCCTTTATTTTTTTGAGCAGTGTATTTCAGCACACGTGCAGATTTAAACACTTCATAAGACCACAAATACTCAGAGTTTGTCAACTTTTGAAATGTCCCATGAGTCTTTGCTGCCCCAGCATTTCAAACATGTTTTATATTATTGCATTCGACCAGCAAACGTGTATATGTAAACACTTCTGTAAACACCACTGTAAATATAAATGCTCCGTATTTTGATTTGTATTTTGACTGTAATTTTAACTAAGTCCTGTTGTGTCTGCCTACTGTACAGCACTTTGGTTGGGCTTCTGCTGTTTGAAGTGTTTTATAAATAAAAGTGGTATGTTATGGTATAGGGTTGAACAATTAATCACATTTGCGATAATCTCGCGATATGTTAAAACAAGATTTTCTAACCACACAGGCTGTGATTTGACTGGTCACGTGATTTGGGAGTGAGCCGAGCGGAGCAGTGTTGCTTACTTAGCTACATTGTTGCTACATCTAGCAGCATTTTAGACCCCTCTAGAGACTTTTTCTTTTCCAAAATGAGACTAGCGACTTTTCCCTGTGTTTTTAGAGACTTTTAGAAGCTTTGACAAGAGAACTTTTCTCCTCCTCCCCTCCGAGAGCGGTGCAGTGCGCCCCTCCCCCTTCCTAAAGTGGCCCGACTCTCTGCCTCGTTCAGCAGCGCGCGCGCACGCGCGCACGCACGCACGCACACACACAC